TTCCCCATTCCCAGTTCCCCATTCCCAGTTCCCCATTCCCCATTCCCAGTTCCCCATTCCCAGTTCCCCATTCCCAGTTCCCCATTCCTGTCTAATCTTTAACCGGAGGCGTTTCCAGCTGGGTTTTGTTGGTTCATTGCTCTCCTGCCTCATTAATTTTTCCCTCCCTCTCCGGCCATTCCCGGCGTTCCAGGGCTTTTCCTGGAGCTGCCTCACACCGGAGCTGGCAGAGGTAGGGCTGGGATGGGAGTGAATCCAGGGAATTCCAGGGCCTGGGAGAGGGGCTCTTTGGGAATGGCCCTGTGGCACGCCCAAGGGCTGGATCCCGCCGGGAAGCTGGGACGGCCGGAGCAGCTGGAACGCTGCAGAGCTCCGGAATCCCTCGGGATCCCGGGAATCCAGGACCTTGGATCCCCCCGGATCCTGGTGGGACTGAGCTGAGCAGGAGCTCCCTTCCCGCTTTTCCTGCTCCGGGCGGGAGGGAAGGAGGGATCCGGGATTTTTCCCTTGATTTCCCAGGATCAGGTAAGAGCCGGAGCCGGGATATTCCGTGGGAGCGGGAAAGGGGATCCAGCCGGGATCCCGTGTCCCACCCGCTTCCCGAGGGACCTGCCTGCATCCAGGGATCCTGAGGCGATCCCACATCCCTCTGGATCTGTTGGAATTCCCGTCCCTCTGGGAAGCGGGATCGGCCTTCTCCCGCTGCTCCCTTGGGATCCCAGCAGCCCTCAGGGGATGGGTGCTCCCATCCCGCTGGGATGCAATTCCCCTTGGCATTTGGGATTTGGGATTTGGGATTTGGGGTTTGGGATGGGAATCCCAGGAATTCGGATCCCGCGCAGGCCGTCCTGACCCTGGGAAGCGCGGGAGCAGCCGGCTCCGAGGCTTTGAGGCGCCGTCCCAAGGGAAGCAGAGCCGGAGATTCCCGGGATCCGGAGCCGGCCATGCCGAGCGCCCGGGCCCGGCTGCTCCGCGCCCACCAGGTGCCCGAGGTCAGCGGGAATTCCATCCCTGATCCCGGGGATCAGCGGGATCTGGGGTCTGACACATGGGAACAGCGGGTGGGGTCACAGCTGTGTCCCGACTCCGGAATTCTGGGGGTGCTCCTCATCCATCCCCATTCCCGTTCCCATTTCCCATCTCCATCCCCATTCCCGTTCCCATTTTCCATTTCCCATTCCCATCTCCATCCCCATTCCTGTTCCCATTTTCCATTTCCCATTCCCATCTCCATCCCCATTCCTATTCCCATTTCCCGTTTCCATTACCATTTCCCATTCCCTTCTCTATTCCCATCCCCGTTCAAATTGCCGTTATTCTCATCCCCATTCCCATCTCCATCCCCATTCCTATTCCCTTTCCCATTTCCATGCCCATTCCCATTTCCATTCCCATTTCCATGCCCATTCCCATTTCCATTCCCATTTCCCATCTCCATTCGTGTTCCTGTTCCCATTATTCCCATCCCCATTATCCCCATCCCATGATTCCCATTCCCGTGATTCCCATCCCGTGATTCCCGTTCCTGTGATCCCCATTCCCATTCCCGTGATTCCCATTCCCATCCCGTGATTCCCATCCCGTGATTCCCGTTCCCATTATCCCCATCCCATTATTCCCATTCCTGTGATCCCATCCCGCGGTCCCCGTGCCCGGGATTCCCATTCCCATTATCCCCATTCCCATTCCCATGATTCCCATCCCCGTGATTCCCATTCCCGTGATCCCATCCCGTGATCCCATCCCGCGATCCCCATTCCTGCGATTCCCATTCCTGCGATTCCCATTCCCGTGATCCCATCCCGTGATTCCCATCCCCATGATTCCCGTCCCCATTCCTGTGATCCTCATTCCCATCCCGTGATCCCATTCCCGCGATCCCCATTCCCATGATCCCATCCCGTGATCCCATCCTGTGATCCCATCCCGTGATCCCATCCTGTGATCCCATCCCGCGATCCCATCCCGCGATCCCCATTCCCGTGATCCCATCCCGCGATCCCATCCCGCGATCCCCATTCCCGTGATCCCATCCCGTGATCCCATCCCGCGATCCCCATTCCCGTGATCCCATCCCGTGATCCCATCCCGCGATCCCATCCCGTGATCCCATCCTGTGATCCCATCCCGCGATCCCATCCCGTGATCCCATTCCGTGATCCCATCCCGTGATCCCATTCCTGTGATTCCCATTCCCGTGATCCCATCCCGTGATCCCATCCCGTGATCCCATCCCGTGATCCCATCCCGTGATCCCATCCCGTGATCCCATCCCGTGATCCCATCCCGCGATCCCCATTCCCGTGATCCCATCCCGTGATCCCATTCCGCGATCCCATCCCGCGGTCCCCATTCCCGGGATTCCCGTTCCCAGAGTTACCGGGAGCCGGGGATTCTCTCCGGGTACCGCCGGCCCCGGAGCTCGGTGCGCGAGTGTCTGCGCAGCGTCCTGGGCATCAACAACGAGACCCTCAACGTCTGGACACACCTGCTGCCCGCCGCGTCAGTGCCCGCGCGCCCCGGGCACACCTGCCACACCTGGGCACTCCTGGCACACCTGGGCACACCTGGGCACACCTGGCACACCTGGGCACACCTGGCACACCTGGGCACACCTGGGTGCTCCTGGGCACACCTGGCACACCTGGGCTCCCCTGGACACACCTGCTGCCCGCCGCGTCAGTGCCCGCGGCGCCCGGGCACACCTGCCACACCTGGGCACTCCTGGGTGCTCCTGGGCACACCTGGGCACACCTGGGCACACCTGGCACACCTGGGCACACCTGGCACACCTGGGCACACCTGGGCACACGTGGCACACCTGGGCACACCTGCTGCCCGCCGCGTCAGTGCCCGCGGCGCCCCGGGCACACCTGGCACACCTGGGCGCTCCTGGGCACCCCTGAACACCCCTAGGCTCCCCTGGGCACACACCTGGGGCACACCTGGGCACACCTTGGCACACCTGGGCTCCCCTGGGCACCCCTGAACACCCCTAGGCTCCCCTGGGCACACACCTGGGCACACACCTGGGCTCCCCTGGGCTCCCCTGGGTTCCCCTGAACACACCTGGGCACACCTGGGCACACCTGGGCACACACCTGGGCACACACCTGGGCTCCCCTGGGCTCCCCTGGGTTCCCCTGAACACACCTGGGCACACCTGGGCACACCTGCGGGCACCCCTGGGCACACCTACGGGCACACCTGGGCTCCCCTGGGCTCCCCTGGGCTCCCCTGGACACACCTGGGCACACCTGGGCTCCCCTGAACACACCTGTGGGCACACCTGGGCTCCCCTGGGCTCCCCTGGGTTCCCCTGAACACACTTGGGGCACCCCTGGGCACACCTGGGCACACCTGGGCACACCTGGGGCACCCCTGGGCTCCCCTGAACACCCCTGGGGCACCCCTGGGGGCACACCTGGGGCACCCCTGAACACACCTGGGGGCACACCTGGGGGCACACCTGGGGGCACCCCTGGGGCACCCCTGGGCACCCCTGGGGGCACCCCTGGGCACCCCTGGGTGCACACCTGGGCACCCCTGTCGCGGGCCCGTTGCCCACCAGTGCCGCGCGGTTCCCGGGCAGGTACCTGCTGTGGCTGCTGGCGGCGCGGCTGCGGGAGCCCGCGGGGCTGGCACCGTTCCTGGCCTACCTGGGCACGTGCGCGCTGTACCCGCTGGCGTCGAGCGCGGCACACGCGCTGGGCGCCATGGGCGGGCGCGGCCGGCACCGCGCCTTCTGCTGCGACTACGCCGCGCTCGGCCTCTACGGCCTGGGTCTGTGCCAGCGGGATGGGG